GGAGGGAAGGGGGTCGGTGACGGTCAGGGGCACTACAAGCTGGTGACAGGGCTGACATACCATGCTTTGATAGCATGACTGAAACAGACTTTTTGGGTAGCCAGGAAATCGCATGCGAGAGCCTATTGAAATTCTTACATCGGCCTTTATATGCACCAGTCGTATACAGGTGCGGGATTTGGTATACGATTTCCAGACAATCGAAGTACTGTTTGGAGCCAACAAAGGAAGGAATGAGTGAGTACCAAGTTGAAAGCATTAATTTGGTTCAAAATGATGATGCAGATAAATTAGTTATTTAAATCTAAATATCTTGTGACGAGAGCGATTGGCATTTTTGGTATGCAGTGTTATTCATTGAAAACAGGTTGGAGCGTTCAAGTCTTTAATTTAGTGGTCGCCGCTTACTAATCATGCGGCATACACGCCGCACATAACCGCCAATGCCGCAACTTAGCCTAGATTTTGAAGTAAGCATTTAGTCTCACCCGTAATTTGGTGCCGAGGACCACCGCCGTTTTTAGGAGGCTGCCGATCCCAAACAGTACCCATTGTTAGGTCTGAGCTGCTGATCGCTGGTACCGCACTTCAAACGCACCGACAGTGTCCGATAAACGAGGTAAGAATGTCACATGCGATTAAAGAGGGACGTTTCAGCGCCGAGACGACTACCTCGTGAGCAATAGGTATGGTTATTGGTGATAGCCCCTGCTTCCGAGACGAGTGGACGATATGGTTTGGGAGCTACTGATCCAGCAGCCTGACGGTAAGATATTTGAGGAATGCGTGAGGTTAAGGTGTTAAATGAAGGGTGATGATGACTCATTCAGTTAGCGTGATTACTGGCTGACAAGTTTCCGGAGCCGTGTGTTGTTGGTGAACATCAATAGGTCATTCTCCGCAATTCTGTAGTTTATCACCATAACCGCACAACAAAGTGATGTGTAAAGATGAATGTCAGCAAATCCAAGGCCGTATAAGAGAGGTAGAATCATCCCGCAATTTCCAATGGACCGGTCGCTAAGCATTAGCGTGACGTCACTGGTGGAGACCGCGCGGCGCCCGGCTCCAAGCCGTATGTCGGGTACATTTGGCACTTTATCGTTGTTATTATTGAACGTAACGACAACTAATGACTCTTAATAACTTTTTTATCCACCTAAAGCTGATTTCCTTGCCGATACATTGCCGACCCGAGCCCCAGGGTTGACTATCTGGGGATATGGGTCGGATGGGCGACCTCGCGACGGGAGAAGGAACGATTGCAGTTGTGTCCCGCACCGCCGATTGCATTCTCTATCTGCACCCGGAGGGGGGGGGGAGCAGGGGGCACGTGCCCCCATCGGATCAGGGGGCCTCTCGGGCCCGAGGGGCCCTGCGACGCCAATTGGCGGCTGAGGGTCCACGCTGGCATTTTCGACTCAGAAGGGCCCCACAGGGCTCGAAAGAACACCTTATGTGCTCCGAATAGCCACACTTCTCTCCATAAGAGTCACACACCGGCTTTTGTCCCTTGTCGGCATTTGAGGGCCCCTTGCCGGCCTCTCAGGGCCCATTGGCGACCTCTGAGGGCCCTTACCGGCCTATCAGGGACCAGCAGCTCTAAGGGTTCCACACACGCCTGTGATGACCCCATAAACCAATGGTTGAAGGCCCCCACAACGGCGCCTGCGAGGGCCCTCACCGGCGGCTGTGAAAGCCCCAAACCGGTGCCCAGCTGAGGGCCCCACACTGCCACCTCTGAGTTCAACCGGCACCCCTGAATGAAGTCCTAAAGGCCCAAACCAGTGCTTCTTAAGGCCATATATCGGCGGCTCTGAGGGCTCAACGCCGGAACCTCTGACGGCCCCAGACGGGACCTTCGCATCGGACGGCCAGTGGCCACTCACCGGTGACTTTTGAGGGCCCCACACCGACGACTCTGAGGGCCCCCACCGGCGTCTGAGAGTACCTTGCTGGTCTCTGAGGACTCCACAGGGCTACTGAAGACACCGCAGACCTCTTGAGGGCCCCTTGTCGGTCTCTGAGAGCCCCTGTCGGCTTATAAAGGGTTCGAGCAAGCAGCTCTAAGGGTCCCATACCCGATTGTAATAACCCCACACTGCAGTGTCTCTGAGGGCCCACAATGGCAACTGTGAGGACCCTCACCGGCGCCTCTGAGGGCCACACACTAGCACCTCAGAGGGCCTACAGCGGCACCTCGGGGGCCCCGCACCAATGCCTCTGAGGGCCTCACACCGGTACCTCAACCTGTGAGTGCCCACACCAGTGCCTCCAAAGGCTTCATAACCGGCGGCCCTGAGGGCACTACACCGGTGATTTTGGGGGCCTACCGAAGGCACAACACAATCCCTTAGTCTCGCTGAGTTGCTATCCCAATCCCATACCGGCTTCTATCCCAATTCCGGCTCAACTAATTAGCAGCCCCCCCCCCCCCATGGGTCAGCTTCGCCGCGCCGGTGTCGGTGCCGGGGATGGCATCGGAGCGGCAGTCGGCCACGCGCAACGCCGGATGGAGCGGCTCAATGGTGTGAGCCGCTCCAAAACGGCTGCAGTAACTGGGAGGAGATGCAGGTGGATTGATGACCGGCAAGCCTTTGTGCTTTACGAGGGCGAAGGGTCGAAGTCGGCTGCTAAGCCGTGAGCGGGTTTTATCAGATGCCGGTTCACTATGACCTTTATCAGGGTCCTGGTACCCTGACGCACTCTTGGATAGCCGAATTACAGCAAAACTCCATCCACGACTGTATCTATACGGCTTACGCTTTTCTGAAAACGTCTGCGTTTGGCCTTTCACGGGCCCGGCCGGCCGGCCGGCCCCGATTGGCAGTCCACCAGTGACGTCACTGGTAGTGTTAAGCTGATTGGCGAATAATACATGGGGAGAACCGGGACGACATCCCCCTGAGCAAATCCAAACTAGTTATATGGATTTTGTTATTTGTAGTTCAATTTACAGAGCCGTACAAAGCCGCCTTTCATTTCAGTCATTATTTTCCAGAGCTGTGAAACTCAGGCCACTTTGCATTTCAAATACATTTCATCAGGGCTGATAGCACGATCAGCATATAAATATTTGGCCACCTCCTTACAATTGCGGGATAACAAAGGGAGGAGGGGGGGGGGGGCGGTGACTGACGGACAAATCAATCACACCTAATTCAGCACCAAACGCCCGACGTCAAATCATTATCCTACATAGGGAATGCGATAACTCATGCAAACTTTCGCGCCAAATTATGGTTTATCATTTGATACACCAAATCGGAAGCGTGCACTAAACTGGGCTTATCATCCGCGCGCTCGAACAATGCAAATAGGTGATATGGGGAACGTGTTGGTGACTAAATTAAATATGTGATAGAAAACGGCTAAGAATCGCACAATCAAGCATTAACTCAATCAAAAAAAAAAAACAGTATGTATCCGTGCAACTTGGTATTCAGTCAATATAAACTTAGTTAGTCGTAAAAATAAATACATACCTAGGTCGTCCCGCTAACGAAATATCGTTACCGTTATCTACATCTTCCTTATCCTTATCAATGTAAATCCGCCGAACGCGTGGGCAGCCCAAATCCACATACCTAGACTGGACGTGTCTACACGTGAATGGTGCCCTCGTCACTGAGTAATCCTAGGTCGCGTTTCTTTTCAGTAAAATCATGAACAACAGCTTCGAATACCTACTTCTACAAAAAAACCTTCGTATGTTATTCATTGCACGACGAAAAAAAAAAACGAAATGAAGGAGAAAGACGTAAGCAATCAAAAGCAGACGCATGACTAAAGCGTCTGCTCTTATGCTGCAGCTTTATGAAGGAACGTCTTTATTCAATATTGCTGCGAATAATTGTAGCCAAATACCTATTTCAAGACTAATATAACTGAAATATATCCTTCACGAACTATAACAATGTTGCTTTACGATATTTACTTTTATGGGAAGGAAGGGTGTAGGTATTTGACGTTAGGACTTATTAGCTAAGTTTTTCCATATTCTAAAAGACTGTTGATTATACCCATAAACATCTACTTATCTGTTTATACGCAATCATCAGCATAATTAAAGTACATTTATTTTCGCATCTCTACCGAAGTTTCCTCCACCCCTGGCTTTATCATTCGACAGGTGACCACCTAAGCGGCGGCCTGGTAACACCTGGTAACAGCTAATAACATTTGGTAACAGCTGGTAACATCCAAGGGTCCTCAGCTACCCTCTCTCTTCAGATTGTCAATTCTATTTGCACCTCTCTCTCGGCGCCAATGAGTCGCAGTCATCATCTCCCCGACTCCATCAGACAAAACCTCTCAATCAACACTTCTGGGCGACAATTCTCTCGTCAGCACCTCACAAAGGTCATGTCTGGTGGTAGACAATCTTGGCGCCAAGGTGACAATGGCGGCGCGGGTCGATCCTGGTGCGGTGGATGGCTGGACCGCCCAGACAATCAACCAGACAATGAGTGAGACAGCGAGACGGCGGGGTACACCAGCAGTCGCATTGTCTGACCTCCGTGACATGCCGCCTGCCGGCTGACCACCCGCCCGCCGCCCGCCGCCCGCCGCAAAACCCACAAACCCTGCTGCTTCCGCCGGGGGCCCGCCGCCGCCGCCCCCCCCCCTTCTACCCGACCCCCCGGTGTCTCACTAACGCGACCCGGGCGGCGTCGAAAGGAGAAATGATCGTGTTCACTTAACCTGTGAAAGGGCAAGGTATCCCCGGTATGGGTCGGGCGGCCCCTTTGAACCCGCCGCTAACACACGGGCAGATGCCGGCCAAGGACCTCACACGCGCGGCAGGGGTCTGTGCAGGACGGGGATATCAAAAATCATATCATGTTTCATTGGGGTTGATGAACGGACAGATATCATAAAATCTTTGTGTGGTGTGGTGATATGGTGCGTGGTTTGATCGGAATTTCCTACGCAGGCTGTCGTAGTTTTGCGGCTTTAGCGTGCGTGGAGGAGCCCTGACCTTGGAATGCTGCCCTCTGATTGGTGGACGTCTCGGGTCGCCGCTGACCCGGCCGGCAGCTGCTGGGCGGCAGTTTTTCTTCCAACTCTCCAGCGCGCGGAAGTGCGTCGAGAGCCGTTCGCGTGCACCTTTTGGTGTTGTATTTATTCGTATTTATTTATACAAGTATTTATTATTTAACTAAGCAGTGATGGGTTATAGTGTGGTGATCAGGAGGTGGCTGTGGTGTTGTGCGTTCGCCTGGAGTTTTTATACATCGTCTGCACTGGCATGGTAAGTGAAATATGAGCTGGACCCTCTTCTGTTGAGGAGACATTGAATCATATTTAGTTGACCAGTCAGGTGCGAGTTGATGACAGACACAGGAGAGGGAGAAATGTGTAACTATATAATGTAGTATGATGTGATAATCCGGGAAGTTTGATTACGAAAATCGGTGAATTCTTATGGCCAACATCAACTACTTGCCCGTTATAGCTTTGATGATTTTCTCCACAATTTCTCCGCCTGATTTCTGCGTGTGTGTTTTAATCTTCAACAAATACTGCGATTTACGACGTAGCTATTACGGTGCACTTATGACTCACTTTCCCATAAACATCGTTTGGGATTGTGTTTGAATCCGATCATAAGCCCTGGATGGAAGCGAATATTCATAGATTGCAGCCATCGATAAATATTTAGGGCTTTGTAAGATTATAGTCAAGCTGAGCGACAATACTTCATCAATAATGCATCGACGAAGAGCGTGCATCTAAAGCAGGTGCCACTCTTTTATCTATCCTTTTCACTGCGATTTATCCACGAAAAAAGGAAGCACAGGAAATTGGAAAAGTCGTATGTTGCTTGTCAATATGGATAGAAAAATAGTCGATTTATAAGTAGCAGACAAATCAGGGTGAAATCCAACTGGAAAGCTTGGCGATTCTGAAAAAAGAATGACTGGTACTGAGCTGGATACTAGAAAGTGTCAATAATTTACCATGGGCTATGTTGCATGCATATCCCTAATAGCGCTATTGTTTTACCTGTCCATCGCAGTTATAAATTTGCAATTTATAAACACTTTCTTCTCATCTAAAGGTAAAATAGTGTTGATGATAATGTAGGTATGCAGCTCACAGAGTAATTATTTTGCAAATGAATGCTTACTCCTAACCCTCGCCGGACCTCTTGGCTTCTACATACGCCCCGGCCGAGGGGGCGTGGAAAGGGGGGGAGGCGGAGGCGGGTATAACCTCCCTCGCCGTTTCGCCCCTAATTAAAATAGAGCCTCGCGGAAAAAAAGGATGTATGCGCCGTTACGAGACGCGGCGACTGGTACCCGTTTTTAGAGTCTCAGGTCAACCGGTAGCCTTCGAGATTAAGTCGAGTGCCTCAAAGTACTGATTCGTTTTTTTATTGACTTCGCCAAAAATGGTTGCAGAGCCGCGACTTTGGCACCAGCGTGTTCTTCGTGCTCAGGCACGTCGATTGTACCTAATAGTGATGTCAATTACAGAAAATCGGAATACCGATACCAAACCAAATACCAACCAAAACCATCAGGAATTACCGAAACCGAACCAACTTCAGAAGATGAGGAAAATACCAACTTTTTATCGATTTTTCAACCTTGTATACATTAGCAAGGGTTCATAATACCAACAAAATACCAAAACCAATCGGATTGAAATACCAAATACCAACTTGGTATCGGTTTGGTATCGATAAACCAAAAAGTTGGTATCCGATTGACATCACTAGTACCTACACATTTTGTTTGGGTGTTGTCAACTTAATGGGTCGACCTCGTGCCAAGGCCAGGTCAGAGCCACCCAGGTCACGAACTTGGTCAAAGGAGGTGATATCGCAAACATTTCATTCGGCAGGTCTTCCCGAGTCCATTGGTGGATTTCCCCTCTCGCCCTATCCCAATTTGAGCGGAAGCTGTTGGGGCATTCCACGTCAAATCAAACACCAAAATCCTTCATCCCCTTCGATTTTTCTGAAAATTTGTAGGCAGACTGGGCATGGTTCAAAACTGAGTTACGTATAATATTTTCGAAATTTGATAACGTATCGCTGAGATATAGGTCATCGAATATAGCGAAAAATGCCACACATCAATTTTTTAAATGGCTATAACTCTGGTTCCTTTTCTGGTATCAAAATGATATTAACAGGGTCTTATAGGCAATTGATAAGGCTTTGGTTTTTAATTATAAAATTAAATTGAAGTGACCTTGAAATGCATTTGACCTTGAATTAAAACAGAAAATTTTAAATAGCAAAAAACACGTCACCTTCGATTTGGGTAATTTTTACATATTATGTCCGTCACAATGTTCCTTACCATCTGTGAAAAAATTGGAGTGGGCCATTCATAACTTTCGCGGCAAACGCCGTTTTCATGCATCAACATCACGCAACCGCGCGTGACCTTGAAAGACAGAGTCAAGACATGCTTGCTTGTGTACACTTTCTGAAATGAATGATTGCTGATTAGTGAAATCCCAGACTCTGCGAGAATGGAAATGCATAGTCATCGTAGTCAAGCATTCCCGTTCCATAGTAAAAGTGTCTCGGGCAAACGGTATTTTGCGGTGAATTTTGAGCCGTGTGGAAATGCATCATGAAGTAAATTCAACGAAAATATTATCACGCAACGATATCTTCACGTCTTTTGATCTTCACTATACGAAAGAACATACATTTTTTAGTATGTATGTAGAATTTCTAGTTAATCCAATAATAAATATGGCAGTTAGAGGCCTGCTAAGAGTAACATGTCGCCGGCTGAGGCGGGCTCGGCCGATGCGGGAAACGCAGCAATCACAATTTTGTGTTTACACGTTCATATTTCCATTGTTTACCAACCGATTTTCAAAATTCTTTCACCATAAGATTGCCTGTACATTTCTTAGTCTTCTCACAAAATTTGACGTGAATCGAACGTAATCAGCGGTAGGGAGCGCGATGTAAAGACGGAACCGTCCCGTTCCGTCCCGGCACAGTCTACAATTCAGGCGGCGCGTAGCGGTCGGCGCCGGCTGCCGAGCCGCCGCGTCGCTGCGGCGACAGAATGTTCACTTTACACCGCTATTACTAGAACAAATGTGAACCGATTTTCTTATTGCTTGCACGATGAGATGTCCAATTCAATTCTTGACAGGTAGCCATAATTAATTTCGCATTAATCCTATGAGATATTGGCGAAAAACAGGAGGGGTGGGCGAAATTCGCTCTTCCTCCTCCACTGCGCGTGCTAACATACGTTTGCATATGTGCAATTTTCTTCAAAACTTATGAATGGCCCACTCTAATTTTTTCACAGGTTGTTAAGAATATGGTAGGCAATAAAATATATGAAAATGAGCCAAATCGAAGGTGACGTGTTTTTTGCTATTTCAATATTTGTGCTTAAGAACAGAGTTAAGCAACTTTCAAGGTCATATATTTAAGTAGGTGCAATTCTAAACAAATGCTTAAGAAATTACCTAAACAGTAAGGTTTATTTCATTCCAATCAAACAAGTATAACCAAAGTTATGGTCGTTCAAAAATATGAAGATGCAACATTTTGTAAAAATTTGATGCCCTATATTTAGAAGACCTGTGGTCAGAATGTGCAAAAAACATCAATGTAATGTCCGGGGCCACACAGGAACTCGCTCACAAATTTATAATGAAATCGCTGATGGTAAGGTGCAAAACAGCCGATTTTTGTTCGATTTGACGTGGAATGCCCCTGTTGACGAAAAATGTACATATTAGGACCTTAGTGACGTAGTACATAACGTCACGCAATGTCAACAATGCAATTGTGAAACATGGAACTTTGCAAAAAGTGCATGAAATCGCGATTTCTTGTATTGGAGATAGTTAACACGCGCACTGCAGCGGGTCTGAGCCGAACACGAACTGCAGGGGGGGGGGGGGTTGAAAACAACCCCCCCTGAGATCTCAAAAACGGCGCAACGTAGCGACAAGCGGTAAACGGCGTTGGATAGGTTAAGATGAGATCGACAAGAAATACTAAGATCATTTTTGGGTCAGGTCAAAAACGAGGTCACCAGAGGTCACCGAAGACAAAATGTTACGATTTTCACAACAGGAATTTCGCGGTAGTTTTTCTTGAATAACTTGTCTTGCACACAAGACAGAGGATCGATTCGAACGCCATCGTTCTTAGCTCGTCAAGGCGCATCGAATGATATATAATATGACCTCGAAAGGTCAAGTTGAAAATTTGACCTCAGGTCAAGGTCATGACCTGACCGAAATAGGTCATGTTGCATATCATTCGATCCGCATTGACGAGAAAAACACGATAAACGTCGAACGGAGTCTCTATCTCTACTCAATCTCAAGTTATTGAAGAAAAACCGCTGGTGACCTCAGGTGACCTAAGATGAACTGGAGATCACCTTCCAAAGGTCATAAGTGATATGTTTCGGTGAAATCACCAACAGGGACCTGTAATACTATGATCCTGAGCGTATTGAAGTCATAGGATGGCATTCAGAGTAAGTTGAAATTTCTCCCATTGACTTATAATGGGCCGGTCGCAAAAATGACCTGACCTTAGGTCATCGATATAAAAATTCCGAGATATACAAGTTGTAGCTCGTGATGACTTTACTATTTCCTGTGGGTTTCAAGATCATATCTCAACAACTGTGGGCTTGGTGGGATTGCAAACTTCGAAATTTACGTTTCGAGGTAGGGTCACTTGACCTGACCTGGTGACCTGACCATAGGTCACCTGGGGTCAAAATTTTTACTCAAGGTGTGCAAAAGTTGTGAGAACAGGTATGCAAAATTTGGCGGCGCTACGCGCCGCCGTTTTCTCGCAATTTGCGAAAAACCACAGGGGGGGGGTTGAAAACAACCCCCCCCTGCAGTGCGCGTGTTAAAATCATTCCTGCACCAAAATAGCGGTTTCCATATTTCTTCCAATGACTATACCTATTACCTACCCACGTTTATAATGTAACTATGTAATGACGAGGTGACACGTGACTAACCTGACCTCAGCTTACTCTTGGAAAAAAAACTGAGATATGTCAAGCTGTGACACCTCTAGACTCAGAGGATGCAAGGCCCTGTAAGTTTGATCTCCCTGTGAAAGTTACCTACGTTAGGAATGGGGGCGTTGCGAAGTTGCGACATCTAAGAACCGTGCAGAGGTTCACTTATGACAAAGGTCAGTGACCTGACCTGACCTGAAAATGCGGTCGGTGTCAAAGATCGGGCTTGAATCATGGTCGGGCATGTCAAGTTTCAGCTCTCTATCGCCAGCGTGTTCAGAGCTATCACGAAACTTGGGGGAGGTGGGGGGGGGGGGGGGGGGGAGACGACACCCGTCCCGTTTCGGCCAGCGAAAGTGAAACATCTTTGTTTTTGCTGTATGACTTTGTTTTTCTTCTAATGGGCAATGGGCATCTTGATGTTTCCTAAATATGTACCTGCTCGTGCTCAGTTGATATCTAATGTTCTATCAAGAATCACTGGCTAATAATTGTTTTGTTTGTTGTTTCAGGTCGCTGGGCAATGTTCTAATGACTGGTATTTCGGTGAGTAGTGGACAACAAATATTATCCTTTTTTCCTTTCTAAGGACAGAACAATAAAGTCACCGAGACGCCAATGGATTGGCTGTAAATAGCTTCATTGAGGTGCATGTGTTTGTGGCTTCTGTGACCTTGGACCTTGTCCAGTGACCTGCGATATGTGACTTGTGAGCGACCTCATGATATTTGACCTCTTGTGATTTATATGTATGATCTGATTCCTTTGTGTCCCTTATCGCTGTAGCCCGCGATCTTTGTGATCTGTGACGAATGGCCTGTGACCTGTGATCTCTGCGACCTTTTTTACCTATGATTTGTGACCTCCTTGACCTCTGTGACCTGTGTGACATTTGTGACTTGTGTGACCTTGTGACCTCAATATGCCGTCAGGCAGGGGTATGGAGTTCACTGATAACCAGCTAGTGGGTCAGCAATTGGCCTGTGTGCCCTCTGTGACCTGTAACCTCTGTGACCTGTGACCTGTGACCTGTGACCTGTGTGTCTTCAGGCGGGTGTGGAGTTTACCGATAACATGGCGGTGGTCCAGTGGCTGACCTGTGTGACCTCTGTGACCTATGACCTTGTGACCTTTATGCCCTCAGGCGGGTGTGGAGTTTACCGATAACATGGCAGTCGGTCAGCGGTTGGCCCACACCCACTGTCAGAAACAGTTCTTCTGGCACCAATGGAACTGTCCCACAGAGGAGTTCCTCAAAAGGTCAGTCAGTGGGGAGGAACAGGAGATGGACCGTAGGGTAGGAAATGAATGAGGACTAAAACTTGCGGCCACAAATCAGTTCTCCAAAATCCAAAGGTCAGTCAATGGGACGAAACTATGACTGAACACTGCCCCACACCATGGAGTTTCTGAAAAAATGCAATGAATAAAAAAAACTATCTCCAGTCATTCAGTGTCGCAATGTCAGTGAAGCAACACAGGGCCGGACCTCGGTCTGCAGAGGAAAGTTCAGCTCAAAAGTCACCCAGGGAGCAAGTGGTGTTACAGCTCTACCATCAGTAAGTTAATTGGCCGATTCCGGACTGGACGTGCCCAATCCAATTAAAGGTCAGATACCAGTGGCGGTAACATGACGTCGACTTCCACGGAGACTGAGCTATAAGGTCAGATGTTGTTGTAGAACACGCAGCGTTCAATAGGATTTACGGAACGGTGGCATTTAGTTCTTTTGGCAAAAGGTAGACCAACACACGGCGTACACTATACAGAGGTCTATAGACAGAGCCATAATGTCCACTACTTTCGGCGGACATTTGTCCAATGCTTTCGGCGGATATTTGTTCAATGCTTTCGGCGGAGATTTGTTCAATGCTTTTGGCGGAGATTTGTCAAATGCATTTGACGGAGACGCAGCGCCCAGTACGTTTGGCGGTTACATAACTGCTGACGCATTTAGCGCATACGGCGGATCACTGAGGCACAGATAGTATATGATAACTGAACACTTCCCATCCCGCGATGGATGATCATACTTGTCAGACTGAAGATGAAACGAATTGACCCACGTAGCCTTTCTCATAAACATTTTTTTACTATTACTGGTGTATAGTAGAATAGTGATTTCAAGTTTACTAATCACTGTTGCCCTCTGTCTCATAAACAATAGTGAAAAGTAATTAGTAAAAGAGTAAGATTTCGAAGCTCAGTAACGCTTGAAAACGAGTCATGGGACCTCCGTGTGGAAGATATCTTTTTAATTTTATTTTGACCGTCGAAATGCGGTAGACACCGTTGCAGTTCTGGCTATATATCTTGGTAGCTAGACCAATGATCGGCACGGGACCAGCATCCACGTATCGATAATTGAACGAGCTATCAAATAACATCGGTTTATGCCATGAAGGAACCGGCGAATGTTTGATGAATCATGCGATTTAATCTTTAGAGATAGCTGACGCAACTAGATATTGTTTTCGATGGAAGGGGGTCAGAGTTTTTAAAGCAGGCCCCCACGGCACACCCACTTTTAAAATATTTCAGCATTCCGTGCGCTTCTTGCCATTAAGTTAAGGATCCCTGCAATCAAGTTGGCTTTGAATTTTGACCTAAATTGGCTCGAGCTCAATTTTTAATGTGGAGATTTATTTTGTTGCGACCTTTCGTCTGGTCACTAAAATTTCATTTTCGGTAGCTGCTTCATTTACAGAGCAATGCAAAGGAAAGGGAAACACCCCTCAGACCCGGGCACTGGATTGGACTAGACTTTCCCTGGGTTGGATTTCCCTGCCTCGGCTAGCCTAGTCCGTACCAAATCTGTACGTGGCTTTAACCCTCGCATGTGTGCGGCGTTTGCCAGCTTCTAATGTGTAGGGGGGGGGGTCGGTTGGACCCCCCCCCCTTGCCGTTTGGCCCCTGATCGAGCTAGAGCTTCGCGGAAAAAACGAGCGTGTTGCCCGTGACGGGAGGAAGCCGATGATACCCAATTTTAAGGTCCTAGGTCATTGGTTGACCTTCCAGGTCAGGTCAATGACCCAAAGTCGGGAAAATCGGGACCTGTTAGAAAGTCGTAAAGTGTGGCTGCTAAGGGGTTTTTCGGGGTGCTGATCACGAATATCGTGTTAGTTTTGATCACAGATGATGTCTTGAAGCATTTAGACCAGGTCGGGTCAGGTCAGGTCAGGTCAACCAGTAGGCGTCGTGACGGGTATTCGTAGTACGTGTCAACCGCCTCTGACAGCTTCGTAACATGTTACGAAGTCACCAAAACTACTTCGTAAATGTTCAAATGGTTGCTAAATTCGAATTCAGCTCCAAAAACTAGCCTAGAAACATGTAAAACTCGAAAAAGTGACCCGAGGTCACCCGAGGTCACCAAAGGTCAATGACCTGACCTGACCTTCAGGTTACCTTGACACACACGGGAGTAACATCAAATCACATGTTTGAACGTTTGAAACCACGAAAAGCTTGCAAACACGCGGCTAGTGCGAGCCGACATACGCGAAATCGCGATTCCGGCCAAACATGGTCTCGGAAAAGAGGTCACAGGTCAAAGGTCATTTGGGTCAGGGTCATGAAATTTTTAGGGTAGGTGTAAAATTGATCAATGCGAGGGTACTGAAAGTTTCGTCGCGATCGGCCGCTTTTTACGCGAGTTATTCGCGAAAAACCATGGGGGGGGGTCCATCCGACCCCCCCCCCTACACATGCGAGGGTTAAAAAATGCCCATCACATTTCAGTTGCATATATTTTGTTGTAGCTACATATTCACATGGTTATATCAAAGATTACAAACGCACAAGCCACAACCGCACAGACACTTACGTATCTACAACACATGGGCGAGAAAACAGATCTCCCACGTGCCGCCAGTACGGCCCAATATGAGCTCGTACGGGCGCTCCCGCGCCGCGGTCAAAGTTGCTATTTGCTCGTCGGCCTTCTCCTTCACACTGTGCAGTGTGCACGGTTAGTTATTTGAGCACATGACTTCGATAGCCGGCAGATCCCGCTCGTAGCTGACCGTCACTTACCTACAACGCTGCTTGTAGGTGGGCATACGAGAACGTCGCACACAATGGCCCCAGTGGATGGCATCACTGATGTAATGCATGACTCCGTCCGACCAACCGGTAAAGTCATTAGAAGATCCAGAAGTTATTTGATATGTTGGGGGAGGCATGCTCCCCAATAATGTGCTTCATTTTTGCTTTTTCAAAAATTTCTCGTATTGTGATATATTATGCCTATTTGTGCTGTTTAAATCAAACTTCTTATAAAAGTTGTTGATTTCCCTCTCAATGCGAGGAAAAATGCGTAAGTTCGTACCTTTGGGCGCTGCAGAGGGGAACAAATACTCCAACGTGCCCCTCGAACCATCAATGGTCACGGCGGTGAGCGCTATTTTGCTTCAAGTTGCATCTAAGTGTTCAGCACCCACAAAGTATTCAGCGTCGTATTTGTTTTGTACTCACAAGACCAATTACGTTTCTTTCACTTCAGGTTCAGGTTCAAGTAGTAGGATAATGTTGGACTTGCGTTTATTCCAAGGCTCTATAGGTTTATTCTATGCCGACATCGAAAATGCTTCGGTTACTGGGTCTTCCTTTATTATGTTTCAGTGATAGCCCGTTGTCCGTGTGTCTTGTCCTTTTTCAGTTAATGTCTCTCCTTCAATGAAAATCCATCGCAGTTCACATTTTGAACGTTTTGAACATATCTCCACTTCACATTAGCTTGCTAGAAATACGCTTGACCTCGTTCAGTTTGCCAGGATGGAGAGCCAACTTTTCATATGATTTATCGTGAGGTTTTAGCAACAATAGATGTTTTTAAAGAAAAAATTAAGTTTGTTATTTGTCAATAAAAGGCTTATGCCGAAAACTCAGGGCATGCATTAAGACATAAAGTACAATCTATCTTACTATTTGAACAGGATCCATCTGTCTGTCTGTTTGTCCGCCACGTCGTGTAGTGGGTTCAATTTAGCCGGCCTACAGGGCAGACGGTATATCGTAGGGGGTTGAAATTTGCACACCTTCTAGGTGGCGTAACGGGTCAGCGCCTTTTCTAGGTTTCGGCTCGCTGGGGTGCACGGTTCGCGCGTGCGGCGCGCTGGAAGAACGCCAACGAAATTTTGATCGGTTCTTATATCTTCATTGAGAGCCGGGGTCGACAAACTTTGTGAGCTAAATGCATGCCGATCGGTGGCGAGTGCCTCGCATTGGCGGATCGGCAAGTTATTAATTTGAATGAAAAGTGGCGAAAAATGTGTTAATTTTCGTTCGATGGAAACAGTTTGTGATAAGAGTTTACAAATGCACCGTGTTTGCCGCAATGCGCCACAATTATCTCAGGGCGTCATTTTTGCCGCAAATCGCACAGTTTTGTCAAATGTAGTCCGATATGGGTGCAATTTGGTGCCAAGATGCATGCTCAATCGCCGGGTGAAAATGCGCTGCGTTTGTCGCAATGCGCCACATATGCCACAAAGCGCCATTTCCGACAAATACGATTAAACGTAATGGAATGGCACGAATAGGGGCAGGGCTGGGAACACTTTAAGTCTGATATTTTAGTACTGATTGGATCCAATTATTATGTGACCTGACATGACCCAGCGGTGTTGGTAGGGGTAGGGGTAGGGGTAGTGGTATTGGTAGGGGTAGGGGTAGTAGTAGGGGTAGTAGTAGGAGTAGTAGTAGGGGTAGGGGTAGGGGTAGGTGTAATGGTAGTGGTAGGGGTAGTAGTAGGGGTAGGGGTAGTGGTAGGGGTAGTGGTAGGGGTAGGAGTATGGGTAGTAGTAGTGGTAGGGGTAGGGGTAGATGTAGTGATAGGGGTAGGGGTATGGGTAGCTGTAGTGGTAGGGGTAGGGGTAGTGGTGGGGGTAGGGGTAGTGGTGGAGGCAAAAGTAGAACAGTGGCCCGGGCTGATCCCAGCGGACGAGAGGTGACCTGTGTGACCTGGCCTGACCCAAAGCGACCGGGGCTGACCCCTTTGACCCGTCTTGACCCCGTATCACCCAAATTTTATCCAACAACGCCCTCAGGACAGTTCTTTTTTAAATTCTTTTCACATTTCCGTCCATATCTATGCTTCTAGACGACACATCGACATGAATCGAACACCATTCGAAAGCAAATTGGCTGGTGTCGCAATTTTTCCTACCACGCAGCAAAGCAAGTGGCGCAGCCGCTTGTCTATACTACTATTTGAACAGGATCCGTCTGTTTGTTTGTTTGTCTGTCCGCCACGCCGT